TTTTTCAGCGTCCTCCTCTCTCCTGTACAGCTACAGTGGCACCGCACCGCAAAATCCACCCTTTTCCCCGTACGCGCGGAACGCGCGTGGCCACAACCGACTCTTTGGAAGTCCGGGAGAAGCTGCAGACGAGACCAACTAACTTGCATAATACATTTTAATTTATAGTGATATTATGTAAAACAAACAACTTCACCGACGTGCGCGTGTTTGACTGCGCCAAGACGTAAAAATAGTAAGACGTTCCAATACCCAAGATGTACGCTTAGGCGTAATACACAATAATCTATACGTTAATAAAAAAAATTAATTAATCGTAAATATGAAAATATATTTCTTTATAATTATAAATAATAACGATAAATTATTCTTTTGCAGCTTTGGTGTTGTATGCTGCCATATATTATAATATTAATATTAATTTAATTAAGTTAATATACTTTTTGTTAAGTAATAAAATAAATACATTTAATAAATAAATAAATACATTTTTCTATTATAATATAATGCATCTTATGTCACATATTCAAAAATAAATCTTTCTGTATATTTTCTTCGCTTTACTCTAAAAGGCACGAAGTTGGGGAAAGAAAAATTAGACGAACAAGAGTCATGCCGGAAACGTTTGTGTAAATACAGCTGCAACATGTTGCGTTGCAGAAGCAACCCTATAACATCTCATTCTGCATCGACATGTTTCTATTTTCTCACTATTTATGGTTACTTAAAGAAGTAAACGATGACTCCTATGTGAAGCATGTTATGTATGTTTAGTTATATATATACTTTGCACACAAAAGCGAATTAGTACATTTGCGTCACTAATTTTTGTCAAAAAAAAAAACGTTTTGGATAGGGTAAACAACTGGAAAATTGCTTTGACCTAACGAGTTCGAGTACTGCAGTTCATTGAGCGAGGTTGGTTCGTTCAGCCAGAGTCTAGACGATTCGTACACCATAGTGATAATGACAAACATAACCGTTACTGACCAGAGGTTACTAAGCAATAACGCGGAAAAGCAGCTTTTCGGTCACGGTAGCTTGGAGGTAAACCGAGATAAAAACTGCTCATCTAGAAAATTAAATAATAAATTATTTCTGTCTCCCTTCCTACCATGTTCTGTTACCCTTCCACACACACATACACAGGTTCACATATACAGGTTCGAATTTACTCTTACACAAAAATGGCAATTAAATATTTTACCTTTTATCTTTTCCTTGTAGAATAATAGCGCAGGCTTGATTAATTCGTCGTGCAATTAAAGTCGACCGATCTTATTCTTGTATCCACGATATCACAAATGTTTGTATATTCTAATGAGTGAATCACTTAGGTGTTAATGACCTGTCGGTAATCAAGATAAATTGCGCACACGGATTCTTCATTCAATGAAAGCAATTGTATAAATTGTATAAATCGAGTGCTTATAACGCAGATGTGAATTACGACATTTCTTTTAGTTTTCGTTTAAGTATTGTGATTAATTGAGGATCAACGGATTTTAAATTAAAAAATCATTTAACTATTCGCAGTTTACTTTTCAATTTAGCCATGTTTATAAAAAATATCTTAAAAGATATTTTTAAAAAATAGAAAGTGTTTATATTTAAAAATTGCAAATTAATTTTTTACTAACAATTTATTATGACAAAATGCTACTTCAATTAGAATGATAATGTAAATAAGAAACCCTGCAATATGAGCTTGACAGACAACTGTATCTGATATACAGCGAACGTTGCTCTCAACAAGAGTCAATTATATTTCCGACACACACAGAAAACATCTCCGCCATGCATGCTTCTCCATTTCCCATGACGCTAAGCCACGAGGCGCGGCGTTAAAAGACCTAAACACCGCAAACCCAAACGCTCACTAATTTTCTGTTTAGTCGTAAAATAAATTCTCCGCGGGCCAGGAGGGTGTGCAGTAGGTTCGAAACGAGGAAAATGGTTCTCGGGCGCATTTCCACCCTTCTCGCAGAAGGGCGGCGCGGCGGTAGCGGCGGCGAGCATCGATGATGGTGGCGGTGATGCCATTTACCGAGCAGCAAAATTTCAAACCAGAAGTAATCGAATTTGTTGGCGTCGTTTAATGAGAGCCGCACAATAGTTGTCCGTATAATTGGTACATACCCCTCCGTTCATGCCATCGCAATTCAAACGATCCTTCCTGCACGTCTCTCCTCACAGCTCTCCTTGCTGCTCATCAGCGTCGCCGTCATCGCCAATGCGAACGAAGGAACGGGAGAAAAAGAAAGGAATGTATGCGCTATAACTATTTGACTCGAACGGCTTCTTATGAGAGAGCATTAGTGAGTCTTAATTGCGCGCTCAGAAGTTTAAGTAAACTTATTTTATCTTTCCTTATAAAAGAGAGGTTATTTTCTGCGCACAATAATGTATATTTTTTGATCCATTTCTTAATTGACGCTGAAGTAAATGATTTTAATCAGCTATCGAAAATTATATTTTCGAGCTATTGAAAATTATATTTTCAAAAAATATGTTTTATTTATAGTATTTTATTTATTTTAGCAACCAGACAATTACGAATGAGAGAAATATCGGTCCCCAAATGCCATCTGATACCCAAAAACTCTTATGTTTCGACTATTTACCAATAGTGATTAAATGTTTCATGAAATCACGAGTTCCACGTCATAAGATTTTAAGAGTATCACCTAGTGTCCGTATCATTTGGACACGTTGCTTTTACTCCTCCTGACGGTTCAAACGCGCACGTAGATGTAAGTTCGCGAATATATATGAACATGTTTTTCGAATAAATTTAAAATTTGAAGCCTGTACTGACAAAACATTTTGTTATCTTTAGCATTTAATTACAAGGCATTTAACCGCATGACTATTCTTATTTTCTTTTTTTTTAATTTTAATCATTAGTGCGTTCGTATTTAATCGAACCTGTGTTCTCTTTCTGTTTGTTCATCTTCATATCCGACAAAATTTTGACCATTCAGAGCTGAAAAATTTTGACCATTCCTGATGCTGAAACTACGAAGATCAGGCGTCACAAGTTGAATGTAAGTGTCGAGTCCGCTTGGAAAAAAAATCACACTCGTGGGAATAACGGGTACATCGATCCTTGAAAACGTATGGACCCGTCTTTCG